CAGAACTCGTTGTAATTTAAGTGACTGGTGTGCATATTATAGAAGACTGGACTATTGGCCTTGGTGGAGGTCTACACTCGCCGAGTGCTTTTCTACTTTATAGTTCATTAGCTATCTGGCATATACAAAATTTACTATTTTACCATTTTTATGGCAGCCTCAGAATGTTAAATAGGCAGGCCATGAATAACCGCTACCTGCTATTTTCATTTTTTTTGTCTTGAAATTATGCAAAGAGGTGTGTAGTTGAGCATTTATATTGACATTTTATAGCCCAACCCAGTCTGCCAGCTAAACACCCGGTCTCTGTCAGATGTTGTCCCTAAATTATTCATGAAGGTGCTCATGTCTGTAATTTTTGTCTTTAATTTCTGTGTTGAGTGTCTAACACTCACATGGCTGAAAGCCTTTGCTGAAGGTGCTAAAGATCTGTTTGACTGCACAATAAAACGCTCGGCTTCACACCTACATTATCCATGCAGTTTGATTTATCAGACCAGTCTTGTGATCTACATGTACATGGCCTACATTAGTGCTGGCTGTTGCAATACAAGTAACACCTCGAATCTAATGCACATCACCAACCTGCAAATATCGCTGTCCATACTAACACGGATAAAAATACTTATTATGTTCAGTGGATTTAATTTGTGCTCCTGTATTGAATTCTACTATGTTGTTAGTGTACCTAATTCTTCACCCACAAAAGTGGTATTTATTTCAGGTCTGATTGTTTTCCCAGTTTATTAGGTACATCCCCATCCATCATCCAAATTATACCTTTTAAGGACTTGTGTATATTGTGGCCAGGCGGTGTAGTCAACTAGTGAGCACAGTGTTTCTAGTTAAAACTTAACTGTGGAGTGCAGTTGAGTGATTGGATGAATCAAGAATACTTTTTTCCCTTTGAGAATCTCCAACTTAAAGTGGAGGAGTTTGTGTGCACCTGTGATCCTTGAAACTCCGCCTGGGGACAACAGGTCATGCTGAGGCCTCCTGGGACAAACCAGTGTGGGATCAGAGGAGTCATTATAATACCCCTTTAGAACTATGCTTGCCTGTATTAGGGAACTGGGGCCCTCTCCTGGAGCAAGGCCTATAAGGGCTGCATGCTCTTGAGTCTACTGGCCTGACCTGAACTAACTAGGCCCTGAAGAAATAACAATGTTTCCAATTGTGTGGCATGCAATGGCACAAGCTTTGCCATGCCAACACTCTTGGGGCGTGGAATGTCACCTCTTTGGTGGGAAAGGTGCTGGAGTTAATGACATACTGGAAACATATAGTTGAGCTTGCCACTACACATAGCAGTGGCATCTGGGGCTCTCCTTTCCTGGAGATGCCAAGTGAGAAGTGGCATGCAGGTTTTAGAATACTGAGGCACCCATGGCTGAGTTCCAATTCACCTCTGTGCAGCTGAGTGTCACTGGCAGGATTGTTGTTTGACAATTTGAACTATTTGGTTCAGTGTTTCCCCTAGAATTTTTTTTCAGCAGCGTTGCTGTTGTGCACGCTGTCAGGCATGCGATGCCAGCCATGTGGAGTAGCTTTCCTAGGTTTATGGAAGATTTAGGCGCACATATGTGGAGGGGGGTAAAGGGGTCCACCCCAAGAAGACTTTACATTTTTCAATACAAATTTCAATCATTTTGGACTGTTATTATTACCATATATGTGTGTAAAAGTTGGAAAAGCTAGAACTGTTACTGTGCCAGAGCAGTTTATTGGGGACGACATACAACTAATAGATCTGGATAAAGTCTTTTAGTTAATTTTGATGCTCTTAACATTGATTTTACAGTCACAAAATGACCTCAGTGTCACTATAGATCAGAATTATTCACTGTTTTCTGTCTACTTAATTTACAGCTTTGACATTTATCTGTAGCCAATATTATAAATGCCACAACACAGCAAACTATTTAAAACTATTTAAGTAAACAGTTGAAAAAGTCTAATCTGAAAATACCATTTTATTTCTTGCAGTTTAAACGCACTACCCCCATTCAAAATTAATGAGACGATGGCTGTTATTGCCACAGTGCCTGATTTGATCTGAATCAGCCTTTAGTCAGCCGTCAGATGTTATTGTACTCGCACAGTGTGCCAGTTGAAATTATTAATAGCTCATTGATGTTAATAATCGGGTACGCCGCTGCTGAATGAATGGAAGGGAAACACTGGGGTCTAGTTGAAGTCTCTGAATGTGGTGCTGGTGAGGGCACTAAACAGATGTAGTGTTCATTATGAACGTCTGCCAGATAGTTCCCAAAGCACTTTAAGCCAAAGAACAATGATGTAGTTGTATCATCAGACCTGCGGCTGTATGTCTTGGGTGGAGTGAAGAGCAGACCTGTGTTTTGAGTACCACATGGCGATGGCTTGGATCATGTGACTGGGATTCTGCTGTACAAACCCGACAAACCCAAACAGTGAGGGTGAGGTGGGAATGTCTTGCAGATGCTAAACATACACTTAATAACCTTTTCTGCCAATGATGAAATGAAAAGAAAAGTTTGGCGTAAATAACGTTCTGCAGATATGATTGGCTATGATTGGCTCCAAGACACGATCCTTGATTCTGTCTTTACTGAGCAT